GTGAATTCCTTAACGAACTAGTTCTCTCCCTGCCAACGCGTTTGCATTTCCAGCGCGTGCGTTTTCTCGCTCGAGACGCGCGGAATTGCGCGCACCAGTTAACATTTTGACCGAACAGAGGCTCCGATCCCGGTATACCGTTAGAGGATCGCTCGCGCGGCAAATTTATATCGAATCGATCGCGGTAATCCAAGTATCTGAACGATTGGAAAATCGAGATTTGAAAAACCGAGCTTTGAGAAGTAAGGCTTTTGAAACATAGAGTCTTGGGAAATAAAGCTTTGAGAAATAAAGCTTTGAGAAATGGAGATTTGAAAAATAAAGTTTTGAGAAATGGAGATTTGAAAAATAAAGCTTTGAGAAATGGAGACTTGAAAAATAAAGCTTCGAGAAATGGAGATTTAAAAAATAAAGCTTCGAGAAATGGAGATTTGAAAAATAAAGCTTTGAGAAATGGAGACTTGAAAAATAAAGCTTCGAGAAATGGAGATTTAAAAAATAAAGCTTTGAGAAATGGAAATTCGAAAAATAAAGCTTTGAGAAATGGAAATTCGAAAAATAAAGCTTTGAGAAATGGAGATTCGAAAAATAAAGCTTTGAGAAATGGAGACTTGAAAGATAAAGCTTTGGAAGATAGAGCTTTGAAAGATAGATCTTTGGAAAATGGAGATTGGGAAAATGGAACTTTGCAAAGTAGATTCTTTATTTCTAAAAAATAGATCTTCAAGAACTTTTAGTTTTTTGAAACGAATTAAGTTACAAATTTCATTCCACGCTACGATTTTGCACCTAAATTTTTTCACAAACCTAGTTGATCTAAAGTTCACAATCACATCTCCAATGTGTTCTAAGGTTAATTTTGAGGTTAGAAATAATTTTTCGATACTTCAATTAAGAACACCGATGAGTATCAGTATTCTGAGAATGTTTTCTTTATAATTCGGGCGAGAAAACTCTAGTTGAATCGTACAGAAACAATATGATCGATGAATATTTCAACGATTTATAGAGAAATAATGTGGCGTCTAATGAATACTTCGCGTCTTCTTACCTGACGCTTGTGTAAATTTGTTCGACTGGAACGTATTTATCACGTGTGAAATAGGCTGGATATAAATTGACGTGAGAAATATGGAAAAACGCGTGGAAATTTGGGGCAAATTTCAATTGGAATTGAACAGATTAAAATGGTAGTTTTGCTGCTGCAGGTTGGAAAACGGTAGCTGACATTCAGAATCGTGCATAAGGTCGCGCGTTGAAACGGCCGCTGCAACATTTTATCGCGGATCACACTTAAAACCCTTGAGGTCTATTTTAATAGAACGGAGCCGGGCAACACGTTCGAAGGCAAATAAACACGTGTACCTACGTCGGCCGTTCGTTTTCGAAAGGGAGCAAGTGGAAAAACTGTTTGAATAATGCTCGCCGCTCTACGTGAACGATTTAGTACATTCGTTGCACACTAATAACTCATCAAGTTATGTACTTATCGTCAAACATAGATAAAATTAGAAATTTCACGTCTATACTAGGAGAAGCTCGAAATGATATCACTGCGAAGAAATATCTCGGAAAACACCTAACCTAAAAATACTGAAAATTAAGCACTGGCTGCATTTCCATGAAAATGAACTTTATATTTGAATTTGAATTTTGCACCGATACCAAGAGATGTTCAAAATATCACAGAAAACGCCTAACCTAAAAATACTAAAACTCAAGCACTAATTAACGAACTATACTTTCATGAAAATGAATATTATATTTGAATTATAATTTTGCACCGATACTAAGAGAAGTTCAAAATATCTCACAAAACGCCGAACATAAAATCACCAGAACTTAAGCACTACCTTTATTTCCATGAAAATTCTCAATAATCGCTAAAATTACTAAATAATCACTAAAAATTAAACACCGACTGTATTCCCATGAAAATGAAATTTCACATTTAAATTCCCATTTTTTACACTTTTCCCCCCGATACGTTACAAAACTCTCCGCTACCTCAAGCACTTGCAAACATGCCCGAAGAAGTAACGAATTGGTGGCAACTAAGTATATCGCTCTAGATCCACTCGACCCGATGATGTAATGAAAATTAATCAAGAGGACCCAGGCGCAGCAGGTGTTATGATAATTCGTTTAAATTAGCCCGGGTAAACATTGGCATGCAAAGTTATGCGGGGAACTAAACGAGATCGCATTGGTCGCGCGCATCGTATCGAGCAACGCCATGGGTCGCGCGGCATTATTTACAGTGATGCAATTATGTTCGACGGATCCCGGGTTGCCCGTGTTATTCTAATTTACCGTGCAACCGTGCACACCGGTGTTTATCTGGATTACAGTTCGCTTTCGGTAATAATAGATATCGTTCGCCGTTTCTGATGTGCTTACGAACACGCGCGAAACTCCACGTGTTTCTGCAGAATGAATTTTAATGATCGATCCACTGCAAACGAACGCGGTGCAATTAAAGCGATATTCAAATATCCTAAGTGTTTAACAAACAGCCTAATCGAACGAAATGTTCATGTTTGAGAGACATTAACCCTTTCACAACTTCGAGCATTTTTTCGATATTTACGAAAACCGACAGATTCGTTTTAAAAAGAAGAAATTACGAAGATCTGTGAATTTTTATAGTTTTATTTTTCTAATTTGTTTGTTTGTTTGTTTTTTTTCTTGGTTTTAGCGGCGCCAATGGAGGACAAGGGGTAAATTGTAGAGATCGATATTTAAATTGGCGGGAAATTTGAATTGGTTAAATATGAATATTCTAGTTACTCGATTTGCTATTCGAATGCAAACGTATTATTAATATACGTGGCAACCCCGTTGAATTTTAACCTCGACTAAAGAAACAGAGGCGAACTGACCTACATAACTCTTTCAAAGTATCGTATCCGGTCTATTACAGCAGAGATGCATCTGAAACTTCGCGTGGCTTATCTTCAATTTATTGCTAAAGTTCGAGCCAACTGTGAGAAGTTTAATTACCGGGAACAATAAATACCGGATCGATTTATTTTACTTGAAACTTTACATTGCTTTCGCCAATTAGTCTGCCGTTCACGTGAATACAATTATCCATTTAATTATCTAAGACACCTCAGTTTTGCACATTTTCTCTCCAACTTAACATTCAATACCAATTAACCCACATAGAAAGCATAGAAACCCAAAAAAATCAAAGAATTCTAAAATTCCATTTCACGACGTCGTTAAAAATGTTTCAACACTTTCGTCACGAAAATCCTCTTTTTATCGCAATTTTCATTACTTATTTCTACTTAAAATCACTATAGAACACGTTTTATAATTAACAAAAATTTTTTTAACATTATCGTTATTTTTAATTTTCGCGCTCTTACAATGGCGTCATCCGCGCAGAAAGTGTTATAACACATTCAACTGCACTCCCGACAGAGATTACCTTCGTCACAACTACCAACGCTATCATCCTCCCATAGTGACGCAAAAACGAGCCAAATTAACAGCCATCGACAAACACGCAGTCAAAGAGTGGTAAAAGCCGCGTGTAAAACACCCGTTGTATTTCCGCAGCGAAACGAGCGAGTTGAATCGAATCGGGTATAGCCACCGCTGCAGGAAAATATAAACGAGGTGGTGGTGGGGGGAGATGTAACGTCCCTTTACCATTTCGATTCCATTCAGACGAATTTTTCACTCAGAAATAATAGCTCGGTCGGTCGAAGTCACCGTTCGGATAAACGACCGCCTCTTTCAAAGCCTTCTATACACTTTTTCCCTTTTTTTTCGAGGGACGTTTACTACGAACCGATCTTCCGACAAATATGAAATCAGAAGGCAGGTGTATTTACCCGCGTCCTCTTCACAAAGTCACAAAGAGACGGACTTGCCTTTGGCCCCTGCTAACACATTCCACGAACGGGGATACAAGAAGATTCACGGAGGAAGAAAAGTCGTACGACAAATAACGAAACATTGGAATCCCTCTCTCTCTCTTTGATCTCGGGACTCGTGTCTCGATTATTTTTGTACCTTTTCGGTAAACCGAACCGAGCGCCCTCGGTACGTTTAGAACAACGAGCGACTCTCTCGGTGTGTTCTTGTAACGCTGCTCTCCTCGTTACCGACCGCATTATTCTATTGTTCCATTGTTCTATTGTGGCTAGTTATAGCGCGGTTATAAATAACGCGCTAACAAATTTCTTCGTGCGGCAAATATTGGCACGAATTTAGCCGCGCGCGTTTACAGTACGCGGATATATACACATAAATGTTTGCTGGCCGGTAGAGTGGTGTGTTAGTGTTGTTTCAGTGTGACGGTAGTTTGGATGTAACGAATTGAGAAAAATCGAGAAGAATTGATAATCGGAACTTTGAAAGTAAAGTTCACGGTACCTGACACTATATATCGCGGAACAACGTTTCTTTTTTCTAATAACGTATGTTTTCGTCGAGAACAATACACCGTGCAAAATATATTAGATTGACTCGAACTATTAGCAAAGTTAATATATCCGCTCTGTTACCGTGATTTTTCGCGGAAGTTCAACGGTCCAGATTGCAATTATCGATTATCGAAATATCTGCGAATCTTTTTCCACATCTTTCGTGGTTAATTGAACATTTGATATCCGATAAATGCGTACTTTGCAGAGATATTCATGTTTCACGTATATTTCAAATTAATTAACAAACGAAGAGGGAAAGAAAACGTGAAAAAGTTTACTAACCTTTTCGATGGCTTCCAGCGCCGCTTCAAAACTCCCAGCATGAGTAAACCGATGTAAACGAGGCCCAGGTACAAAAGGGCTTCCGACTCCCAGGAGCGTATCAAGCACCACCACCAAAACCAATCACCACACAACCACCGGTCAACCTCGTCGATCTTTCCGAGAGATCAATTTAGTCACCTGAGTCACACCATGATCGTCCACTATACGTATGTTCTTACTTCGCACCGTTATTACTTTACCGCGACCAACTTGACACTCGATCGATCGACGACCACGGATTCGCTGTAAAACAACCGACGGGACCCCCTGATTGGTTCACTGATTCACGCGGGAAGCTTCGCTATTCGAGAAAAATTCGAGAATCGAATTAGAACACCAATCGTAGCGCCGCCACCCTCTTCTAATCGAAAATAAAACATTTTTACAAGCTGCTTAAGAGGTTAATCTCGATCGATTGCAATCTTATCGACCGTTTCAACATTCTCATACAGGAAATCGATCGGTAATTATTCAAAGAAGAATAACGCTTCCCGGATAACGTGAATTATTGATGCTTCCTTATCGACATGCATGAAACTTTTTCTTCAAGTGGCCGACGATAAGGAAACTTTCGAGCTCGACCAGTGGCGAACAACCTCTACAGTTGCCGTGATCCGTGAACGCATAATAGGGTCTTTGCACGTCAATACGGGTGAACGTCCTGCAATCGTATTCTGTATAAAATGAAAGAGAGGAGAAACGTGTCAACAACATTGACACGTTAACAACCACAGGAAAAAAAAAAAGGCAAAAAACACTGCGGATTTAATCTCCAAGGACAATGCGGACTCGTTGTCCAGCTTATCGATAAACAATCATCGACACGACGTACTTGAATCGCGTGAAACCTCAACTTGGCAAGAAAAAACCTAAACTCGACAAAAACTGTAGCTTTACGAAAGATATTCAAGTATTACCCTTCGAGAAAGACGAAATAATTATTATACGATTAATATATTTTGTCGATAAGACAACAATTTGCCTGCTTGACATGTGTGGTCTTTAGTGATTACGCCGTAAACGTACGGAATATAAATAACCCAATATACGAAATCGATTAATTACTACTTTTTGTCCTTTCGCGAAGGAAGCTTATTAACGATCTCGCTGTCAAATAACAAGTATTCGTGTGATGGTAGACATCTCCGCAAACGTCCAACCTTACCAGTATACAAGATACGTATGTCACTGATTAATTAGCTGCCAATGATGTCAGCGCTACCTAGCCTCTCTGATTAATCGTTCGTCCCAAATAATAAATTACAGATCCCAATAATGAGAGCAATAATTAACTGCAACTTTTCGAGAGAAAAAAGAACCTATACCCGTTCTTGGTATCTGACCCGTGACGTATTTTTCGTAATTATCACAGTTAAAAATTTTATTAACGCAGTGACAGATTTGCGTACGCAGTCACAAAAGTGACACGAAACAACGCAATAATAATTAAATCCTACCACTTATTCGTTTATTATCCATTTCCAAACACTACACACGAAACGCAACAATCGTAAGAAAAATGCGTAGTTATACCAAAGACGTTTCTAGATTCGTCGCTACGACCTGTCAACAAAACTGTCAATGGCGACGAAAAAACGCGCGAACACACGCAGGCCGCACTTCGGGGAAAAACTGCGTCGTACACGTCCCAGCACCGTACCTCAAAGACACAACTCGATTACTACTCTGTAAACACGTCTCTTCCAATCAATATTTTGAAGCTATCTACGACGCGAAGTTTACGTTGGCACAACATTTCGGTACAGCACGCATGTAAAAAAAACCTCGAAAGGTCAGCGCGACCGAGACGTACGCGGGGAAACGTTGCTAGCAAAACAAACCCCTTACTCTTGCTCGTCGAGTGAATCACCACCTCTCGACCCTTCGAGGGGGCCAACACACGAGCAATATACCACTGGCTACCGCACAACAAGCCACGGGGAATCGAGGTGTAAAACAGAATTTCGCGACGATACACGAAAATCGGAACTACCGTTTGCCACGAAAGACCACACACTGGCTGGTTTAGAGACTTGTGGAAAGGGCACGCGACGCTACGAATTTCGATGCGACGATTACCAACGTTTTCGAAATTCGACCCGGTGACCGCGTTCCACAGACAGATGTGGACGCGAAAACACTGCAGGTTGACGACGTATATCGACGCGAGTCGCGAAGAAAAGACGAGCGTCGATCAGGCGGAAATCGCGCGCTGAACACACGGATACGAACCGGCTGCGCGCCGAACTCGAACTGAACTAAAGACAGAGATGGCAGACACGCGGTACTCCTTCCCGGCTGCTCGCCGGGCTCCCCGCTACCCCCACTCCAGTACGACTCCCCACTGATTTCCCCCACCCGTTTACCCTAGGCTCAAGATATACCACCGATACGAAGCGCCACGGGTTACTACGCTGATAATCAATCGAATTAGTTTTAATCCACTTTTTCTACAACGAAGAATCTTGATTAAGGAAATTCCTACATCACATCAACGGTTATATTAAATTGACCGTTTTTTTAGACATACTAATTTATTTCTTCGTGGAAAGACCCCTTAAAAATACGGACAATTGAAGATAAGTCAATTACCTACACTACCGGCCAAAAGCTACCAATTTTTGATAGATTTGAAATTGAAAAATTCTTAAAGTTGCTATTTCTTTCTGGAAATTTTTTCTGTATCCTGCAATACACGGTGATTTAAAACTTTTAGTTGGTAGTGTGTAAAAGCGAAATAGAGGATATACACTTTTTTTAGATTAGAACTTTGTACGTTAATACAGGTCTAATTAGCGGTAATTGGAAAGAAAGTTAGTGTGTTCATAGTATACGTCGAAATGGGACGATTTAACGTACCTACTGAAAAGAGAATGATAAAATGAAATAGAGTAGAGTGCAAATTGATTGTTTCGAAGTGAAGTATGTAGTTCGATAACGAAGTGTATTAAAATTTATGAATACGGTAGATACGAAGCAGAGACTTGTTCAGAAATAGATAGACGAGGGTCTCCGTTATGGGTCGGTATTGACCCAGTATTCGCGGCACGCGCGACAAATTTTTCATAGCTTGACCACATAAAGTTTCTGTCACCGGTGGAAACTCTCAAGTGGTCTCTACCGATGTATTAAATCGTAAATAAATTCTGCGTGTTCTGAAAAAGGAGGAGAATATTAAAAAAAAGAAATATTTCTCTTAAACAATCCACCATAAAGTATCTACGATACACCGTCGGTGTCGCAACATTCCCAATTTCAAAGTTGCCAGAAGGCCCATCCGATACGCGCATACATCACGTCGTTTTAAGGGCAAATAGAAAAAGTCGGTAAAACACATGTTCATCATAAATTTACATCCCGCTCTCTCGCGTACACGGAGCTATAGGATTGCATCTACATCCTGTAAGAGGCGGTACAGAAAAAGCCCGGAACAAGAGGGAGAGACAGGGAGAGACGATGAGAGCTCAACTAGCATTACACAATCCTCGTATTCGCTAATCTGATTACGAGATAGTTAATTCGCCCTGTACTGTAGAATTTCTAACGCAATTATTCCTGAAAACTAATACTCTACTCATCTTACAGGAGTCTCGTAAACGAGCCCGTGGCTGTGCAGCCGGTAACTTTTTCTCGATTCGCGAAGAGTGGACTAATTACGTTAAAAGCTTGAAGTTTCGTTGAGATATCGAAGTGAAAGAAGAAAAACAAAAAAAATTCGCAATGTTTCACCGTTGTACCTATGCACGTTACTTCAACCCATACTCTATAATTACAACGAACTGTCCGAAGTTATTAATACTAAACGAATCCCCTGACAAAAGGTTCGCGGAAAAAATTACGAGAACACCCCTTGACATTTCCTCATCCCCCGGAGTGTCTTTTATTTTCCTTGCAGAGCCCGCGGCGAAAGGTTGCCCCGATTTCCTTCCTATTTCTAGCCCGATACGCCATGAAACTGCAAAAAAAAGACGTCGCAATTATAATTACGAATAAAAAAGGGGGACACTATGATCTTGAAGATCATCTTACAAGAAGAGAAAAAAGCGTATAAACGATCTAAACCAAAGAACACGTATATATATATATACATGTATATCTAGGCTGTTATTTTGAAGAAGATTGGAGAAACGTTAAGTTGAGAAGTTCAGTTTAAAGTGGTTTCTCCATTTAACCAGAACCGTATTATCGTTTCGCCGTAGCTAGTTTAAGTGAGAATCTGTACGTCACAATTAAACGTTATCTGGCCGCGCTAAGAACTGATACAATAGACTGGAACAAACAAAAGCCACTCCATTCTTTCGGAGTCCCCGTTTCGCGTGTGCGTTTCAATGCAGATAACGGTGAAACGCCACTTATTCTGCGTCATTCTTTCGTTTCAACGGATCTAAATATAATCTGTACAACGTAATAACGAAACTTTAATTGAATCTACGCTTCTGCACCAAAGCAACGATGCCCGCCATCTTTCTTTCTCTATTTCCACGCTCGTCGCACTTTCCTTTGATTTGATTTTTCCCTCCTCCTCCTGCTTCGTGTCCTTTGTCGCGGATTTTTTACGATGCATCGTATATTCGTATTCGTTCAGCTTTTGTTGTCTCGAAGCTTTTGGGTATCAGGCTCGAAGTTAGATTTCGCTTTTGCGAGTCTGTCTTTGATGTCTTTTTCGTAGTCGTTTTTATCTCTTTAGTATGTATTTCTCTGTTCGGCGTGCACGTACCTTCTCTTTCTTTTTTATTTCTTTCAAAGTGTGAGTCCAATACTGATAACAACTCGTGACGTTTATACCATCTTTATGTTTACTTTACGTTCCTGAGAAAACTTGAGACTTCCATCTCACCTTTGACCCCTTAAATTTTGAATTAACCTGTATTTAAAAATTTTTAATGAAATTCAAGAAAAAATTTCTCAGGTTTCAAAGGGTTAATTCGTCGATGAATTAATATTTTTTAAACTAAATTATATCGAAATTATATTAAAAACTCGTATCGTTATCCCTTCGGTGCCTGAATAAACAGACATTGACCTTTGACCCTTTAAATTCTAAATCAACCTGTATATAAAAATTGGTAATATTTCGACTCGCAAATGAAATTCAAGAAAAA